AAAAAATAGTTTGCAGCCAATCATAGGGAACCCAAAATCTACAATTTATCATTCGAATATATTGATTCATAGCTGTCGAGTATATTACAATAGCATGCTATCCTGTACATAGGTATTGCTATGGCAGTGATTAAGACACTTTAAAGTAAAGAATAAGAGGAAACTGCATACAAATAAAAAAACACATGCTTACTGAATATGTTCGGAGTGGGAACAAGCATACGGCTCAGCTGATGAGCACTGGATAAGTGAAGCATGAAGTCATAAAATTATCCGCATGGATACTACCTGAAGGGCCACTTAATACTGAAGCCGAGTGATGACTAGAATAAAAAGATTGGCAATGGTGTATGCCAACCGTGATAATTGGAGGTGAAATGATGATGGTGTTAGTGAATTACAAGACAATCATTATAAAAAATGTACCATAATTGTGTTTCATTATTAGGTTGTAATTAATCCAAAACGTATCATTACAATGATAATTATGATGACAAGATCATTACAGACAACATATTGTGATGATGATGATGAATAAAATACAATATTCATTAATATCAATCTCAGTGTAGCTTTTAAACTCTTGTCAACAATGTTTCGAACTGGTACCGTCTGTAAAAGATGTGGTTCCAGACATACAGTACCCTGGCGTCTACAAACTAAGTTTCCTCTGTGGTAGCAGTTACATTGGGGAAACCAAACGACATGTCTCGGACCGCATCCGTGAACATAAAGCTGACCTGAAACACGGTAGGACTAACACCTCAGCCGTGGCAGATCACTGTTACAACTCAGTGGGCTCACATGATATTGACTTCTCCAAGACAGAGGTTCTCTGCAAGCCATCTGGCTATCATGAGAGATTCGTTCATGAGGCGATCCACATATACAAACACAGAGACAACTTTAACCGAGAAGATGGATTCTGGCTCAGCAATCATTGGAAGGACGTAATAAACCATTTCGATACACATTAGGGTGTGTAGAATAATACATAGTGTGATATTAAATGTATAAGATATAGGTTGGTTTACAGCAATACAGTATATAATTTAATGTTGGGTTTATCTATGGCAGTATATAGTACGGTATATGCTCGTGTGATGTAAGAGAATAAGGTTTAGATGGAAGCATATTATAGAATTTTTACGAGGTAAAATTGTAATGTATTACTTGCTGTTAGTAACTCAGCTTATTATAGAGTATAGTAAGTATACTGATGGTGCGATGCAGTTTATACTTTAGTTTTTTATGTAGTTTATACTTTAGTTTTTCTACGTGGTTGTTGAGTAACTGCAGCTACATATCATTAACATTCCTTTCCTTTGTTACTGCTAATCCCTGCACCCCCCTTGGTTGCTGCTGATCCTGCATAATGCATGGGCATAATATGACTTTGACACCCCCCCGCCCAACGCCTACGCATTTTCCATGAATATGCTAAATCCCTCTTCACATGCACATTCTTTTTGTTAAGGCGCTCTTCAACCCCCAATGCAGCTTATATATAAGCTCCTAGTTTGGTAGTGTCTCATTCTTCACCTGAAGACGGCTGCTTGCGTTGTAGCCGAAACGTCGTGAGAATTGTTTTATTATGTTTTATTTTTATTATTTTATTACTTCCCTTCTACGTGACTTTACCGAAAGAAACAAGAAGATGAATCCCTGCAGTCACGAAAGCTTTAAATCGAAAGTTGTGGCTTTGTTTTTGTTAAAGCCTGGATGACTGCATCACTTACCACTTAATAAAATGCCGTTTTGTCCTTTACAAAACAAATCATAATTGTATGATATTTCATTGGTCTCCTTCATAATCATATTGAAAGTGTGCATGGCAGAGAACCCCTTCCTAAATCCACCTTGCTCACGTGGTTGATGAACAGCTGGATGTGTTTGTTCTGTTCCCAGTGATCTTCACGAACAATGTGTGTGCATCTGATGAGGGACTCGTGTATGTGTGTGTATACTTCTTCAAGTCAGTTTTTCACCATTCTTAGATATACACATCATTGAGTCGTCACTCCACGACCGAGGTAATTCCTTTGTGTAAACATTCAGTGAGTCGGCATGGTATTCTCGTCCCTGAAATCCGGTCCTGCTTCTTGATATGTCCTCAGTTATGTTAAGGGTGCTTGGGCACCCCACACATTGCCCACGGCCAAGACTAATGACTGACTGGCAGCCAAAGAAGGTAACAGGCCCAGCGTGGAGATGGAGCAACGAAATCAGGCTGCGTGCAGGCACTATCGAGGGATTGTTGTATTGACACCGAGAGGGATGCGATGGCTTGTGGATGCCTTCATCTCGCAGTGGATGAGTCACGAATGATGGTGATAATGATGATGATGAGGATGCTTAATTACAAGATATACAATTGCCACGATGATCATGAGGCGTCACTTATTATGGTTATAGATGGGCCCTCAGTGTGACTTTATTACAGTACTACGAAATATTTGTTAAAGCAGTTAATTACATTGTTTCTTAATCTGCTACCCCTTCAACCGTTGGAGCTGCTTGCTGTTTGATATATTGTGACGATGGTCGTGTTAGTCAACACCAGACTCGATCATTTAACATGTAAAAATTATTGTAATAAACGACGCGAAACTGAATCCTCAATGTTTACACTGGCATTACACCCAAACATGAATCCACGTCTGTGGATACAAGGAAAAGCAGCACCATAAGCAAATACAATTAAAAATAGAGCCATTACTGTAGCAAACACGATCAAACATTCATAGCAATCAAATCACTCAGCCTTGCAGTGTTAACAAAACAGCCGAGAGCAAAGTAAGTTAGTGCGGTAATAATGTATGTTTCACTCATTTTTGCTATGTATGCAGTTGCACAATAGCGGATTGGGAAAGGTGGAAGGGGCAGCGTATGAATGTGATGTTCTGGCGCAGGAAAAACTCACTGAGAGTCGTTTGCCCCACCGTTACCGTATTCCCCCGATTAGAAGACACTCCCGAGAGCGAGGCTCCAAACATTGTCAGCAAAATAAATAAGTATAACCCGTAAAAACAAAGTTTGTCACTATAAATGCTTTATATGCGTGGCAGCTAGAGTCCTCTCGTCCTCTGGCTTGAGATGGCTGCGACCTATGGGTCAGATGATTGTCTGCCAGTATTAAGCAATTGGTAATTAAATATTTAATTTGTTTTCCCTAAACAGTGTAAAATTTTGGAAAAAAAATTTCACGAACATTAATTGTCTCGCACAACGAGTCTGTGTGCAAAATGTCAGCTCGATTGGATCACGGGAAGTGGGTTTAAAAACGACCGAAAGATTTGCACGGTCGTAAGCAAGCAAGTAAGCACGCAAGTACGCAAGCAAGCAAGCGAACTTAATATAAAGGATTAAAAAATGATCTGGTCACACACACACCGGATTCTAAGACGCACCTCCGCCGTTTGCTTTAAGATACCACGGGGGAAGAGTGCGTCTTATAATGCGTACAATGTGGTAATGGTCATCACGAGCGAATCCTCATCCAGTATTCGTGTTCATGCAGGGTTTCCAAATCATGGCTTTTTTTAGAACAGGCAAATCTTTGTAGGGCGATTTTGTAGGTTTCTTGTTTGACATATCTACTCCGTCAATCCACTTTGTAAATCCAATTATGAATATGGGTAGTTTGACCACACTTTACCATGTGCCACCGCTTCATACTGCATTTCTACACCAGCTGGAAAATGATGGCAGTATACTCTACTCGGGGCTTCAACGCCACACTCCACAGAAGGCAAATTATGAGGATGACCGATTCTTGGCAGCAAGGCGACGGTAACAGTAACACTTGTCTTCTTGGTTCTTTCGGTAAAGTCACGTAGAATGGAAATAATATAATAATAAAAATAAATCATAATAAAATAATTCTCCTCGACAGACCTGCTCTCCACCTGAGGACGGCTGCTTGCGTTGTGGCCGAAATGTCGTGAGAATTATTTTATCATGTTTTATTTTTATTATTTCATTATTTCCATTCTACGTGACTTTACCGAAATAACCAAGAAGATGAATCCCTGCATTCACGAAAGCTTTAAATCGAAAAAGTAACACTTGTGTTTCACAGCAAGAAGCGTCTGGGTTTGATTATTGACTCAGGCGCCATTACGTGTGGGTTTGTATGTTCTCCCCCTGTTCTGCATGGCTTCCCTCCGAATCCCAGCTTTCCCCCCAATAGCTAAAAAAACACACACAATGTAACTGGTCCTGGCCAAATCCCTATGCTCAAAATGTACCTGCAAATTACTCAATTGGGATTACACGCAGCAGCAACATCGCCCCCTACTGCGAGGCTTTCCTGCTTAAACAATCGTAATAAACACAATGAATGGACACGCATATATGTAGGTGTTTATCACAACAAGTAGATCACTGTAGAACTAAAATGTAGGCGTCCCCTGCCCTATGAGTGAAATCAATAAATATTCGCATAATTTTTTGTGGATTCAAATCGGAAATGTTGATTTTCTATTTATGAGGATGTTTCTAGTTGGTAAGCATATTACCATCTATATTCATGGAAAATGTCGGTTTTGTCGCCCTTCTAGAACATGGTTACAATTTACATCAGTCACTCAGTAACGATCGTCTGTATTTATTGCGTTAGCGAGAATGCATTACCAAGATATGTCTTCCCGGAGGAACTTCATGATTGTTGAAGTTAATACATATTTCATTGCATTCACCGAGTCGAAAATGTCTGAGTTTTTAAAGAATTGTTGTTAAAGATCTGCGAGAGGCGAGTTTTATCATACGAAACGGTTACTTCCCAGCAAATATGTGACGTGGGCCTAATACTGGTCCAACGGTTCCGACCACGTGCCAACGTTGGCCCAATGTTGGGGGCCGTTCACTGGGTTTTGTTGGTTTCCCACTCCAATTAAAGCTGGCCCGGCCACGCCAACCCACTGGCGAAGAGTGCAAGAATAATCACGCGCGCGTGCGCCGACTGCTACGGAGCCTTGGAGCAGCGCTGGACGCGAGGCAGCGGCATCGGGGCTCTGGTGACAATTAATGGCAAACGATTAAATCATTGGCGGCGTCTTTTCCTTCCCAAGAGCTCGGATGGCCTCGCAGAGAGGTGCCGCGAGAGAGCGCGCACGGGATCAATATCGCCTCTCGGGGTTTCACACAGCTTCCATTTGTCTGCATAACGCGATTTTTAGCTGCTCGCTTTACCACGACCTCCCCAATTCCGACCCCCCCCCCCTCCCCGTCTCCTTGATTCGCTACGTTTGAGCCAGCCCTGCAACTTTCAGCGCGGGATAGCTCTGCAGTCTCCACCGTAGGAGTTTCGCTGCTGCTGCTGGTATTGCAAAGGCTTCCAAGCGCTCGCCTGGTTTTCACAAATTAATTGCACCACCCCCCACCCCCGGTGAGTGAGTGAGTGTCCGTACGAGGGCGGTGGGCGACATACACGCGTACGCGCGCGCACGCACGCGCACACACGCGCACCCAAGACACCCACACGCGCACAGACAAAGATCCCATCTATAGCCTTAACAGACTCTTGGGGCAAGTGCTGTTATCGCACGCACGCGCACACCTTAAACGCCGTCAGAACGTCCGTGACGTGATTTCATTTCTAGCGACTGACGGCAGAAAGGCGAAGCGCCGCTGCTGCTGATGCGCATGTGCGTCACGCTGTGGGAGCAGTGAATTAAGACTCATCACGGTCAGCGCCTCGCTCGCGCAAGAGGCTCGAGAAGAGCGGCGGCTCCTGCGAGGTCCAGGCGAGTGTGTGTGTGTGCGCGCGATTCGCGTCGCTTTCAGAATCGCTCGCGCATTCCAATTTGTGCTCGTTCCGTTACTGCAAATCTACACCGCTGTCGGCTTCGGGGGAGTGAAGTGGAGATTGGAGGTGGGGAAGGTTGGGGGGTAGAGGAGGGAGGAGGAGGAGGAACAGAATCACGAGCAGGAGGAGGAGGAGTAGGTGGTGGAAGCGCGAGACACAGCGGCAGCGACGAGATTTCTCAGCCCCTTGTGCCTGCAGCTATCTCTATAGCTCTACCTCGCTCCATCCCTATCTGCCCTCTTGCTTCTATCCTTCTCTCTCTCTCTCTCGCTCGCTCTCCCCCTCTCTTGCCGGCTGCCGCTGCCGCTGCAGTGCGTGCGGGAGCGTTCCGAGTCGCGCGGCACGCGGGATGCCGGGGACTCTGGCCAAGAGACGGCGCCGCCGGCCCCAGCCGCTGCTCATCCTCGCCCTGGCGCTGGGCAGTGCGGCCGGCGCACTGGTGGCAGCACCCCGGGCAGCGCCTGGGTCGTGTCCTGAGGCGTGCGCCTGCACGCTCAGCCGCCTCGCCTGCAGCCGCAAGGATCGCTTCTCGGCATTCCCCAGCGCCACCGCCGTGAGCCATCGGGCCAACCTGCTCGAGATGTGAGTGCGCGCTGCTCGCCCAGCGCCGGGCACACGCATGCGAGCTCCATCAGCTGTATGCGGCTTTGCCACGGACAGTGTTTTAGTACGGACTGTCTGTGACTGGATGGAATTCACACCACGGCAATCACACGCACGTACGCGCGCGCAGGCACACACACGCACCTCGTGCGCGCGCGCGAAACGGAGCTTCAAAGCGTCCTTAATTTAGATGTAACGCTTGCTTATAATCTGCTGTCACCTTCAATTTCAATCGGAGGCACGATTGCATTGGCTGTTTTTTGTTGTTGTCTCTTTTTATAAATATGCGCCTGCGCAGCTGATATATATATTATGCAAATGTTATTGAATTGGCAGCTGCCTAAGCACATTCCAGCGCAGGAAATTCCACCCTGGCGCGCGCATCTGACTGGATATAAACGCATCTAAATGCCCGATGACAACACGCGGCACCTGCTCTGTTGCCTCTCAAAGGCGTGCGAATTGATTGCTGCGCTTCCCAGCCGCACAGGGCACACAACACACACACACACAACACACACAACACACACACACAACACGCACGCGCGCGCGTGCGTGAGCCGCTTCGCTGATGACGGACGCACGGTTGCCAATGCTCGTTATGTAATTAACACCCGGAAAATTTTTTTTTTTTATACGGAAACCTTATATAACGCAGTACTGAATTAAACGTCGCTCGGCTGGGCAATTTGCAATTCGCAATGCTGTACACAGTAGATCCAAAGTGGCCCGTTTGCGAGTGCATTACTTTACTTATTTAAGTCCGTCACCCGTGGCGGGGAGCGACAATGCTGAGGTCAGCGCAGTCGGCTGCGAACCCGGCGACTCGGTCTTCATTAGTTACCCGGTGCGGTGCGTAAACAACAGCACTGGGGAGACAAAGGCGGCCTCACGTGGTACTTGGCCACCCGACCCCCTCGTGAGCCATTCCGGCCACAAGAGGTGTTTGCTAACATCACCTGCCCCCAACAGCTCGCTGTGACTATACGGGGTATGTTTCGATTTAAAGCTTTCGTGACTGCAGGGATTCATCTTCTTGGTTCTTTCGGTAAAGTCACGTAGAATGGAAATAATAAAATAATACAAATAAAATAAGATAAAATAATAATATAATATAATATTATTTTATTATTTCCATTATACGTGACTTTACCGAAAGAACCAAGAAAATTTACGGGGTATGTTTCTAATTTTTTTATTTTGTCGTCGTGTTTTGCGTGCGTGTATTATGAAGTCTGTCACGTGTGACTGACGAGACAGACAGACGGCGCGCGCTCCTTTGCGCTCGTCTGAAACTGGCTCTTTCAACCCCTGCGTGACCCGCAAGGCCATTTTCCCGATCATATTCCCTTCGCCTTTTAAAGGTCACGCAATATGCGGGAACGCATGCTCAGTTACTCAAAAAATGAAACGTTCGGCATGCGTGCGAACAGTGGGTGTTTCTTACGCACGTTCTACGCACGAGTCTTGTGCCCCGGCTTTAATCACATTCGCTCTCATTAGTGCAACACCAGATCGCTTCTGTTGTTGCGCGGAACTTTTGAGAAATGTTGCACACGCGAGTGGCTCGCAGCCGATTGTAGTGTCGTTACGTAAAACACAGCGCTTGACTCGGTGGAGGACATCGCAAAAATAACAACACGGAACACCACTCAACACAAGTTGCATAATTTTTGGGCTTAAGATTTGATCACCCTGTTTGCGCGTCGTCAACAAGGGGCCTTGAATTCGCATCGTGCAAATATCTCAGACTGACACGGAGATAATTGCATTTTAATCAGCAATCATAAAGTTTGCAATACGATACGTGCACACAATGGCAATGCGGCGGCATGTCGTAAGCAAGATAATGACATAGCAGAGGGAGAGAGAGAGAGAGAAAAAAAAACAACTCCCCGTCAATGTGCTGAGCAGATGTGTACGCATGCACACCTGCGCGTCGTCACGCTTGCTACCGGCGTGTGCATCAGGCGAGTAAATCCACGCATAATGGACCGCTTGTACAGCATTCCGGTGCATACCTCCTGTGAGTCCTGTGAGCCCGATCCTGATGGCCTTGCCAGACCAGTGTCCTCACGCTTATTTTCATGCCGCCCGCCGTACGTGAAATCAGAACGCGGGGCATCATGCGAGTGGCTTACTTGAAAGTGCTGGTTGCACTCGCGCGGATATATTATCCTTAAAAGCCGATTTCCCGTTGGACCTGATATTCGAATGTTTTTTTTTTAGAACAATGGTCGTGATAATTGTTTCGGTACACTCGTTAATAATTGTCTCCCGGTGCCTTTAAATAACATGACACGGGAGGAAAAAAAAATTTCCATGCAAAATTAGCGTTCGTTAGTGGTAAGCACATATGACCAATGGCAGTTTAAGGACGGTCAACAGTGCAATGCTCATTATTGCGCAAAAAGGGAGTATCACCTTTTCCTACCCACATTACCCCGTGCTAAAATTAATTTTTGGCTTAGTTTTCCAAGCATTAGCCATAGAGTGTGCAGGCATGAAATTATCCCCGTTTGAGCATGTACAATTACAGCCCTGGTGACATCAATGGGGTGGGAACAATTTGAAGGGCTCTGCTGTACGTTTGGGGAAATGAGATACATTTAATTAAATGCACCGCTGACAAATGCACATAATTGGCCACCCTTAAGGAGATTCTTATATGCCACGAAATCAAAGTGCAAATTGTGCAGGGTGTCTAATGTTCATTTACGTTGTGAGTAGCGAGTGTTACATTGTTAGTACTGAATAAGTGCAATGGTAACGCCTTTGCCTTGTATATATTCATTGAATGGCCAAAGGGCTCACTTTATATACTAAACGATGAACTACAAATAGGTTTGATAATATGATACATGAAATGTCCTACTAACCTAATTTCACGTGCACAAGCCACATACTAATACATACTGTTAACATACCATCACAAATTATTTTTTAAAATAAATATTTACACAATACAGTTTATTAAGATATTCGTAATAATGTTGGTGCTGTGCATACTTTCAATATCCCATTCTCAAAACATTTTGACTAATCCATTTTCAGTATTAAAAGATCCCCCGTATAGTCTCAGCAGACCGTTGGTGCAAGTGCTGTTAGCGAGCACCTATGAAGGCCGGCACGGCACACGAGGGAGTGGGTAGCCAGCAGCACTTCCGGCCCCCTTTGTCTCCCCACGCGAATATTACCCGCTTTGTTAAAAAAAAAATCAAGATACTCATTTTCACGAGAGACAGTTGTGTGGCTGAATAAGCACTTCCAGGGTGTTTCTAAGCAAGGGGGGGGGGGAGGAATGGTTGTTAAATCGAGGACGGGGAAATAAACCCAAACCCAGAGTGGGGAACGAAAGGCATCAAAGCAAGCGGTGCTGCTGTTTAAGAGGCGTTGCTCCCCTGCCTGGAAATTAGGCAAACAATTATAAAAGTGCTGCAGGTGTGCCATGAACACAGCGGGAACACTTTCTCACCAATACCGTGGGCGCCTGTCGCAACGTGGGGCGCCTCTTGCTCCTGCATCTAAATGCAAACGTGACCAAGGGAAGAAGAAGAAGAAAAAACCGAGGCAAAATGAATCCATGTTAAGCGTTCAAGAAGAGCAGTTTCTTTTCGAGCTAAGCTCGTCTATAGTTGAGTTCTGCTTCTCACGACAACAACAGAACAAACTCTAAACTCACAATCGAAAGAGTCATTTGGCTGGTAAACTGTCTTGAGACTTAGGAGGCCTTTACTAAGTAAATAAAGGGAATTGTTATTATAATTACTATTTATGAACCAGTTCACATATGTCATCTACATCCGGTGGAAAATCCCGGAAAACTGTTCTGGGAATGATTTTAGCACGCCACATTTATCTCACCTTTTTCATGAACAAAAGCCAAACTTACAACTATTATGAGTCCATGCATCTATTTTTTGTTTCTATAAACCTTTCCATACGATTATAAGGTACAATAATATTGGATTATCACGGATAGGTGTACCTTGCACTCTCGTGGTAGTGCCTTACGCTGATAATCCGTAACTCCAAACCGGCCTAGCAGCATTGCAGAAAATATCGAGCGAGAAATTAAGCCCTGTCTGCATCTAACACATTAATAACCGCGCTGATGTGTTTTTTTTGCTGTCGCTCCTTTGCAGAATTATAAAGAACCAACCCAGGTTAACAAGCGTCAACCAAAGTGATTTTGAGCAATACACCGTTTTGCAAAACCTGTGAGTGTGGGCCTCGCACTGATTGCATTACCTGACCTAATGGGACTGTCACTCGCTCTCACCGCACCACCCATGCTTTACGCTAAAGTCCTTGGCATGCACTCATCCCCGCTGACGGAGACTAATCATTAAACCGCAATTATTCAGACGATGACGACAATGACGGTGACCAACGCTGGCAACGACGACAGACACGGTCGCGATAATCTTGCCAACTGACAGTTGTGTTTGTCACTTCTTTTCCCTGTGTAATTGCATATATTGCTGTCTTTTATTTTTATTATTACAGCACCATAACCAATACCGGGCTCATGAGTATTTCACAAGATGCATTCCGAAACAACAATCGTCTAAAATATATGTAAGTCTACTTGCTTTCCTTATTCCTTTTCACCAAACGTGTGTATGCATTTGTGCGTGTGTGTTTTGTAATTAGAGGCACCTAAATACGTCCATGAAAATATTCACAGTTGGGAGTCATATAATTATGCCACTATAGGAGCATCCTTACAATTGATGAGCTACCAGTTACACGGTGAAATATGTGCGCATGCATATTTCAATAACATAAAATCTCCTTGGCTGCCATGTATGGGTGGATGGTATGCACAGATCTGGAGCCATTTGAAGCATCGTCATTTGTGAATGTTGAAATATCAGCTTGAAATGAATAGCTGTCTGAGATGCCTTCAAAGGTCCCGTATATAGCGTGTTTGTCGGTAAAAGGGTGATGTTGAAAGTGGCTCTTTTTTTCAGACATTGAAGTGTGTGACAGCTAGAGAGAGGGGAAGCTTTCCATTTGTGTAAGAAAAAAAAGGTTAAATAATTATCCTTAAATCCCACAGGATTCTGCTCACTTTAATTCCAATTGTATGTATCTGGATTTTAATAAACGACAAATTATTGCCAGCATTGTTTAAACACAATCGTTATGGAGAATTATAAATACAAAAATGCATCAATGTAATTTGTTAGCATGGATAGTTTGTATGTATGGCATGTATCCATACTAGCACACTGAATGCATACCATTTGCGGCTGAGCCCATATATTCATCTGCGTTTATACGCTTTTTTGGTGAGCTACAGAAAATGTCTTTACAGAGATGCTCTATTTTATATTTAGACAGTCTATCTGCAATTATGATGGGTCGAACATTTGACCTTGTTGGAGCATGCGATCACATATTTGAACAAACACAGATCTCGACAATACATTTTCATTCTGTGCCATCCAACCATCAGCTGGATTTAATATAAAAATGTAGTGTGTGCATACACAAAGCAGGAACAAATATTTCGATGCAGCCCAACGCATTTATATATTTCTTCTCCGCCTTGGAGGTTTTGTGCCAGAAATGCACCGTGGTGAACACTTTCTTAAAGACCTCTACAGCTCTCAGTCAGCTGCCATGAAAAAATACTCTAGAATGCGTTGCAACACGGAGAGAACTTTCATCAACTGATCCTTGTGGTGGTACCCTGAGGTTGCCAAATAATACAAAATGGCCGAGGCAATTAAATATTTTATTTCTGGGACAATATTTTTTTCTCCAGGGGTGTACTTAACTCCGCGACTGGGGTACCAATCAATCCGAAATCAGTGCCACTCCGCGATGTCGAAACGCAGCGAGGACGATTGCGCCGAAACCCTGAACGCTCGCATGCACCGTAGTGGTGCTGCATCGAGTACAGCTCGTCGAGATGAGTCGATTGCCGCATCGCCGATCATCAACAGACTAAAAATGACTGCATCACGGACATTATGCGAGAGCCGGGGTACTACGGTAACCCGGGGTACAGGTTTAACTGGAGAACATTGACGTAATTTTTTGTTGTTGTCCTCGCAGAAATCTGGCTAACAACAAATTGACTCGCATCTCATGGAAGGTGTTTCAAGGGCTTCAGCTCAACCAACTGTAAGTACGAAAGTAATTTAATAAATAAATATAAATCACATTCATCAAACCATTAATAATACGTACATGTATCCACTCAACGCCTTGATTTCATAGCCTTTGCTGTGATTAACAATATCATGTTTTTCAATAGTGTAAAATAGTGGTTAATGTGACCAAGGTACTGGCATATTAAGGAGTCTACACGTTCTAAGACTATTCTTTGATCTTGGTCAATATAAAACGAGCTGGTTTAAGATCCATGTATCGTCTACGCGACAATTGCGTGCTCTTCACAGAACTCCGTCATTGGCATGGAACATCTTTCACGATCTGCCGTGGCCCAAAAATAAAAATACTGCTGCTGCTGTGAACGCTGCGTTGCCTCGTGCACATCTCCCGAGAGCAACTCTGCTGGGAACGGGAGACGCTGACGTGCAGGACACATAAGTGGCTCATTTGCTGCTCACCCATCGCAGCTGTCATTCAAGGCTGTTTTGTGTGAGATAATGATATGAAGGCACCAGGTACTCTTGTTTACGAGTCACCGTGGCTGCAGAGCGACAGCAGTCTGGCAGCAATGCCGATGCGTAATTGGGCGTGCAGCAACAGAGTAATTGGTTGAATCTATTCCAACTTTAGAAGCAGATGCTTCGATAAAACTTTGAAAACTGTGCGCCTGGTGAGACTATCATCGAACAGGCTGCTCGATACCAACCGGCCGCTACTGACTACTGAAGCGCTAATCGTGTGTTGCATGCGTCTACTGCTGCATCGCTGCAATGTCAGACCTTTTTTTATGTATCCACGCAGGAATTTGTCCGGGAATCCCTTAGTGTGCTCTTGTGGCATTTGGTGGCTGCAGCTCTGGTTGAAGAGAAACCCGGGCACTCTTGGGGGTCAACCCAGCTGCAGATTAGCGGAGACCGACAGAGTCATTCCTCTCTCGAGCTGGGCTGCCCCGGGCTGTGGTGAGCGCTACCCCAGTGTGATACGGGGGGGGGGGTGTGGGTGGAGCCGGATTGTGACAGGCCCATAAATAATAGCTCCATGGGTAACCGGAGGACAGGAATAGTCGGCACCATTACAAGCGTATACAAAAAATAAGGAAATATTTTAAAAATGGCAAAACCTGGAAGAGCATTTCCCGTAGATGTATGTATGTTGAACTTCTTTCGCGTTGTACGGAGCCAACCATGCGAATCGGAGGTGCAGGACACTTTCGATAATCGCATGCCATTGTGAATGCTTGTTCAACCCCAATTCAAACTACATGCACAATGTGTAATTCTGTAAAACAAAAATATATTGCGCAACGTTTATTTCTGCACTGCAGAAAATAATGCAGTTGGGCAGAGAAGCGCATGGCTTATTAGTGACCCCGGGCAAGTCACGCTTATATAAGTGTCATCCATCTCACTCGATCACCATAATCAATTGTGTGATTCTCTTGAATGCAGCATTGTTGACAATGAGTTACATTCCTCTTACTATTGTTTCTTTCATGCCTATGAGTCAATACAATTCAAAACCACGAAGGCAAGCAGCCGCCCAATAGAAAATCATGCAATCGTTCGTATCTATTTAGTTTGTGTATGCGTGTACTCGCGCCTAAGCAGTAAAACGATTGGGCTTAAGTGTCAGGTTTGGTTGACTTTTGAACCATGCCTTGCCGTAGAAACGTTGTCAGCCTACGCCTCACACGCGCACAGCAGTTTATTTGTTCCTTGCAATGCAGGCAGATTTATAGCAGGAGCATAGTATTCGTTTACAGGGAAGTAAAAATAATGTGAAATAATAATGATGTATATCTATGGATCTACAACACTGCCATACCTGTTTTTAATACTGTATTTCCCTTTGTTTAGCCTCCATCTGCCATTAATTTAAAATTGTACGAACAGAGATGTGCTTTGTGTGTTGATGTGTGTGTTGAGGAAGCATGTGAAACAACGTATTAATTAAACTGTCACTGACAGGCAAGGAAGATCTTGATGTTTTGGCAAACTGGCCTTCATCATTTAAACTGATGGTTAACAAAAACCTGTTATTATATTTAATTAACTTTTAAAAGTTCGCTGACACAAATTTTTTTGCCTTAGACTTATATATGTACATACGCTTGAATAATACTGATTTAACATTTTTATGCAATGTAAACTATCTACAGTGGAAAACTTGAAATCGATTATTTGAGTTAAATTATCAGGGAGTTAAATCGGAAATCAACAGAGAGCTGAATTGAGGCAGTGACTCTCTAAGGTGACGCTTATTGTACCCTTCATACGGCATGCGAAAATTTTTAGTAAACTGACGAAGATTGTGCTCTTTTGTTTCTGCTCAAATTATTTTCGTGTAACAGTGTCGCAGTGGTTCGCACACTCAGCTATGAACCCAGTGACCTAAGTTTGATTCCCAGCCAAGGGCTGACAACGGTGATATATGAAGTAACATGTCCTGGGTCTCTGCGCCCCCCCCTACCAAACCAAACTGACCAGCGTGTTTTCTTACGCTCAAACAACCTCCATAACTGACACAACATGGAGAGGCCTCCATTCAGCAGAAGATAGACAGATGGCTGTAATTTATAAATGTAATTATATTTGTTTGTTGATTGAAAAGGACGTTACCAAACCAGAATAAAATAATTCATGTTAAACCAAAGTTTTATATTGCATCCATATTGTTGGATTAATGTATGTTGACAGTTGTGGTGATCCCACTGCACAAAGTAAAAAATTCATGAAAATGTAAACTGTATGTATATAAGAATTACAAGATAATTAGAATGTGGGGGTGGTGGTCAAAGAATTGTTGTTTAGAGGCAGTCGAGAGTATACCACTCCAAACTACGTGCAACGAAATACATTGGAGCCCAATGGTTGCTTTGTGGTTTGGCTTTAAAACGCACTGCTAAATTAACTAAGAAATCGTGAAAGCTTCCATGCCGTATACAATGCAACAACAACAGCACAATAAAGCTTCGCGGATCACGAGAGTGATGTGCATAAGCTACCGTTGTTTTTTTTCTCTGCGAGATTGTGCAGTGCTGTATAATAGACATTTTCAAGCTACAGATACACATTTTTCGCAGGGTCAACATGCAGTGTTTACAGCGCGTGTGTGTGTGCTGTAGCAAGACCATGGCTACCATCAGAAATTGATATAAACCGCGGGGAGCGGTAGTGTAGTGGTTAGCGCGCTGCACGACGAACCCGGCGACCCCAATTCGAGGCGGCCGGGAATGGTGCTGGTCACCCACCCCCTCCTGTGCTGTGCCAGCCTTCATAGGTGATCGCTAACAGCACTTGCCATACCAGTCTGTTAAGGCAATGGGGAGGATATTTGTCTTTGTGTCCTATCAAGACGTGGCCACGTTCAGAAATGGATATAAATGCGTGCTCTGTAAACAACTGCGAAGGGATGAGATCATGAGCTGTATATTAAAATTTGGAGTGGGAAGGGGATGGTGTTATTTTATAAATTCATGATGCAAGGGATAAGGAAAATGTAAAAATGGGCAATAAAAGGCCGTGTGTGATGAGATTATAGATGGGGATGCTGCTTTATACAAGTTAGGCAGGGGCATGTGTTGATTAAATGTTTGGCCATGGAGCTGGAGTGAAGACGGGAATTGGGGTGAAAAAAGAAAGTGTTTGATTGACATTAGAAGCAAACTGTTCTCTGCACAAAGTGAAAATATAGAGCATCTCTGAAGATGGGGTTGTGGGGAGGGCAGCAATGAATATCAGTATCCTTTCAAGAATATATTGAATGTTTCAAAGGAAATGTAACATGAATTGGTTTGAGAAGTTCAGGAGTGGCACTAATTAAATGTGCACCGCTATTGGCGGGAAGGCCATTCGAGATGAACGAGAGAGTCATATAAATGCAAAACATTGTTAAAGAGAGACATTAAAAATAATCTGTGGCCAGCACGAACCCCCCCCCCCACCACCACAGGCAAGGCTCACCTTTTTTTTCACTTCTCATCAGATGTGTGCCGTGTAACAGAGGAATAAAATGACATTCGCGATACGGTCTTTTCGTGGGCTTGGGTAGCAGGGGTGGAGCCATCCATCAATGTATTATCACTGACGGAGAAATATGGAACCTCTTTAAAATGTATTATTATTATTGGTGTTGCCTCCCAGTGAATTTACTTCGACTGTATGCAATATACCCGTTTTATATTGTTCACATTGTAAAAAAAATTGTGTTCAGCACTACTTTTGCCTGCACATGCAACGCGTTTTGTTCCGTTGCTGCCTGTACCTCGGCACGCATCAACTTTACGTTGTTGTTCTTGTTCTTTCCTGATGCTGCACCATGGCTCTCCCTTGCAAACTGTCTGGGTAGCTGGCTAAACGGGACTTTCCGTGTAACAAATAAACATCGGTCGATTGGAACCTCATTTGCCAGTAAAAATATGATAATTGTTGTTTTACCCTTCTTTCTACGTGACTTTACCGAAAGAACCAAAGAATAATTCCTGCAGTCACGAAAGCTCCAAAATTAAGAAGGAAAGCTGTCTCGGGTGTGGACCAATCAACTTCAAGGACAGTGCACATTATCAGAGTTATGTCTTTTGTTTGTATTATGACTGCAGGTATTGCGGTCTATACAAACATGACTCTTTGTAAAAAGGTGTCAGTTTTGTTGCCAGATAGAAGGGTAAAAAACCAATTATCATCGGTCGATTGATCGATTAATCTAGCCGGAAACAGCCACCAAATGTACGAGAGCTTCCAAGTTGAGTGTGTTCGCGCAGCGCTGGCCCCGCCGCGTCATGAGTTCCACGTCCTCTTGCCTTTCTCCGACGGCGGCGGCGGCGGCGGTGCAGACGCTCCGGAGGTGCGCGTGAGCAAAAGCAACATCTCGCTGTTCGAGGGGGAGGACGACATGGTGACGTGCAGCGCCACGGGCATCATTCCGCTGCTGCGGTGGGAGTTCGCAAACCTGAGCTCCGCGTGTGAGCCGCAGGTGAGATCTCCGACTGACCCGCGGATTGCCGCGACTTTGCACGCGAGGAGTATCCACTTTGGAACAGCGGGGGAGGGTCTCCGTTGCAGAAATCACTGGCAGGGTATAGGAAGACTCGGTACCCATGGCGGAGTCTTGGGGGCAGGAGCACGGAGGGGTCAATCTCCCCCCCCCCCCACCCAAACTGAACACCTTTATACATTTATTTTCAATAGTTTTCAATGAAAATAAAAATAATATGCATTCCTAAATATAGAAATCAAACTCCGCCTATGCTGGTAGCCCGTTTCTTGATTCGCATGTGATCCGATCCTTTCCCCAATTGTGTGAATTCAGCCGGACCCCCCCCCCCGCCTCCGCTGCTCCTCCCCCCTTAGCTTTCTAGCTCGTGGTCTGGTTCACGGCTGGGGTACGCGGCTGGGGTTCACGGCTGGGGTTCGCAACTGGGGTTCACGGCTGATGTTCACGACTGGGGCTCACGGCTGGGGTTCGCAGCTGGGATTCGCGGCTGTTTTTCGCACGTTTTTTCCGACTGAGTCCTGCGGTGTTGGCAAAAGCAAAAAGTAAAAAACATTGGGAGCATACAAAAGCTCGCAGGGGGCATCAACACAGTCACTGTTAAACAAACGTTTAACAAATGTTAAACTCTGAACAGAATGAGTAACGATACAGTATGCTTTTTTGCCTATTCTTCATTCTGCTTTCAACTCTCATAGTTGCTGAATTGTACTTTTTTTTTCATTTTGTACAGCCCCTTCCAACTACTGCAGACCGTTTGCATATGAAATGACTTCGCTCTAATAATTTCGAAAGTGGGGGCTGAGCCTTCAACAGGGGGAGGGGCCCTCCAGCTCCCACGGACGCGATGGGGAGACTTCCATCTCCCCTCCATCGCAGGGGCCTCCAGGCTGTCCCCTGCACCCCCCCCCCCCCCAATACATTCACAATGATCGTGTTTACGATGATGCTGTATTCACAGTGACACCGTTCACTGTGCGCCTGACCAAAATAATCACGTTCCTGTTGATTTAGTGAGAGATGCTTGTTGTTTTGCTTTTCACTTGAAAACCAAAAAAATGTACAAGGGTGAGCAATACACCAACAATCATCAGAGGGCACGACCTGACCTGGAGGGCATGGACAATATTTAAATAGGACAACTTGTCGGTTGTGAATGCTTGCGAGAGACGTCTGTTGGCAAATGGATGAATTGCATTATTTTGATTTACATTATTTTGATACCCTCACTAATTCGCCGTTAATGCATCGGGAATATTATTGTCCATTGTTTGGCTTTTAAACTGGGAAGCCGAAAGTAGCCCGTGCTTCTCTATGTGCTGCTTCGTAGCATGTACTTCGCTGGAGAGAGAGAGGGAGGGAGCCGATGGGAATGCCGAGGACATGAGTGCATTAAGCAAGTTCTCCCAAGATGAAACCCATCCGTGTTCTTTACTTTCTTTAAGCCAATTGGAATTGAAGTGAATTGCTTTTTAACGTGCAGTGGCTGTTTCAATCAATCTAACAATCAAATGTTTTGCCCATTCATTAGTGAGTCTACACTATTATCACCTTTGCCAGTTGAACACCATCCTAAACAGCAGTGCACGTTCATATCGATGAATGATATATGCGCTATAGACTTATTGTATTGCAGATTATAAGTGCAGTTTAATCTTGTGTGAGTATATTTACAGTGTACGCGGCCATGTGTTGCACTCACAATCTGTGCGCTAACCCCGTTGCTCTGGCGGTTTCATTCCCAGGAGGAGAGTCAGCTCGGCTCGGCGGTGTCCTTGCGCATATTTAACATCTCGTACGAGGACAACAACAAAAACATCACCTGCGCAGCCGAAAATGCGGTGGGAATGGCAAACGTCTCGGTGCAAATCACCGTCCAATGTAAGAGCGCCTTGGCCCTGACTCCATTAGACCTTTGAAGCACGATTATTGTTTTTTTTTCCCGAACAGGCATGTCTGGTGTCCAATCCTTGTGCAATCGTGCAATCTTATGCCCGTAATCTTAACACCGCTTACTAGATATGACTTGTGAGGCCCCTTTATTAGTTTCAGCTAATATGTTCCTCTTCAGAACGAATAATAATCAGACAGCGGCCCATACGTACATAGCAGCAATGCAATCGTGCTCTCTCGTTTTAGATGAAGCAATTTCGTCACTTTTAAGAATATTTTTTTTGGGAGGGTTTTTTTCTACCCTGCTGCTGAGCTTTTCCACTCGTACAGCATTCCCTTCGCTTATTCTGCATTGTTGCTGCTAGTGCGTCGTAATGTGTCTACATGAAAATAGGATGTTGCAATGAATTATGAGGGCATGCAATGTTTCTCCACACGGCTTGCATTCATAATGTCTCAAAGCCTAATGGCGCAGTAGAGCACGCAACTGCAATGCACATATTGCAATTCCACTGTCATTTTAGAGCAACGGGAGTGGCGTGGCCCTGGCCTTATGTCATTAAAGGGCATTTATTATAAGCCAATAATTTGTATGGAACACACTCCATTACGGGCTGTAAATAAGGCATCAATAAACTCGAAAGGCTTTTTTAATGTCCTTTTGATATATTTACTGCACATTTGAAAATAGCTTTGAAAGAAATTTTGAAAACGTGGTGAACGAAAAATAAAATGACAATCACCTCCGATTATCACAGTTGGCTACATATGGCGCAAAAGAAGTTCAACATACGTACGCACATGTACTGCTATGTAGTGCAAGCCCTATGTATTATTGATGTCAGCTACTTTTTGTATACTATTTCCCAATTTATCTGTGATGTATCTAAACATGGTGACTTACCTTCCAAGAGAACATCTATGCCTACTTTGCCGTGAATGTTATTAAAGACAACTTTACTTATTTCAATTAACCACAAATTCACATTTTTTGACTAAACCATTACATTCACCATTTCTCCAACTATATTATGAACCAACAAACCTCAACGTTGCTTAATTATTTAGTTTTTAAGGGTAATGAGTCGTCATAGAATTACACAGTAATGAATTCTGTTTTTTTCTTTGTTAAATTAATGATATTAACATTCTAATTTGAATCCAAGTTATATGAACATATCAATGCACTTGTCATTGTTACTGCATATGTGGAATATATTATTATATTTGACCGGCGAAATTTGTACATATGCTGAGGAAGCAAAGTTAGGAATGAATGATGGTCTTTATCACGAAAGACACACAATAAAATCACGTCTGTGCCCAAACCTACTTGGACAATGAGCAGAGAGCGGTGCCATGTTGAGAAGCAATGCCTCCCTTTAACCAAACGTCACTCACTCTCAGGACAATAAAGTGTCTTATGACAGTTTCCTTTTTATTCTGCCAACCAATTTTTAGCCTGTGGCCATTTCCTTCACACCACTGCCAAATTTGAGTAAAAAAAATATTTTTTGTGAAACTAAGTTTGGCATTCCTGAACACTCTTCCAATTACACACGAACATCTCCATTACTGCTGCTGCAGCAGCAGATGATCTCAAGCTGTATGGTCGAAGGCAATGTGCAATTGTCAGATTGCACTTGATTGGAAAAAATAAGTTGACAGCACTTTGGCTAATCCCCTACTGCACGAAGGCCTCCCCCATACTGCAATGGTCATAGGGGTTGTTTGACCATACTTCACCATTTTGGGGGATGTGTTTAAGTTAAAGGAGAGATGCTCAGGAGCAATTCAGATATAACTCGCTACTGATGTTAGCCAAGGCTAGCAATCAATCTCAAGGGGCTAAACAAATGAATGCTATACCGGACAATACATTGTTCAGTGATTTCTAAATGACAGACATTGGGTTTTGGTCAATCCATGAAGGCCGAGCATCCCAACACCCGGGTGCGTTAGCTCCAGATTGACACGTGACCATGTGCCAACCTGCCCGTTTGTCACGTGACTGTTTAAGAAACGCGCCGCTGCACGGTGTGCGTTCTCAATGGGCAACCGCGCCGTCTCGCATTCTCACCCCGCAACTGCCACAGACATTCCGAAGATCATCTACCTGAACAAGGCAGAGAAGTACCACGTGTGGTGCATCCCGTTTATGGTGCGCGGGAACCCGCTGCCCATGCTCAGCTGGCTGTACAAGGGCGTGGACCTCAACGAGAGCCGCTTCGTCTCGCTGATCGTGCACCCGCTGGGGCAGGACGGCATGGAGGGCTGCTTGGACATGGACTTGGCCACCCATCACAATAACGGAAACTACACCCTGGTTGCGAGCAACAGCTTGGGCACTGTGTCGCGCACCGTCTACTGCCACTTCATGAACAGCTCCGGTGAGGCCACGCGAAATGAGCGGAGGATGAACGGGCAAATCGTGGGGGGCATTCGAGGCGCACGGGGTTAGCAGCGAACCCGAGGAGCGTTTGGTCGGAAAGGGAAAGCTGGGTGAGATGCGATGCGCATTGACAGCCAGCGCCGATGGCGATCGAATGGTGATGATGATAATTCACACTTGCGATCAAACGCATTGATTGTATTCAGCTCGATGCAAACGCAAGCTGGTCGTCGGCGACTTCGTCACCCAAGGCAGTGTGCATGAAAGTCGGAGTTCATTTCAAGCAGTTAAGTCATTTCTGCAGGAGATTAGACAAAACTGTCCGTTGGCTGTTTAATAGTCGTCTGTGGTATCATTTTTCAAAAGGATATTGTTCAAGAGTGGACAATTGTGTGCACGGTGTCAATCCTCAAATCCCAAATGGGGAAAATTATCTGTAACTCTATAAAAAAATAATTTCAGTGAGGAGGCATATTTAGATTTTCAAGGGTACCACTTTACATTTACATACGAATATTCGGCTCTTTTATTTCAAAGTCGTTGATATTCAGATTTGCATATTTCAAATAAAAAAAAATAGAAATTTCATTAATTGTTTAGTGTCTAGGTTTGTTTGAGTAACAGATCAGATGACAGCACTGTTACACAACGCATTGGTAGAAACCAGAAACTGCACTCAATGTCATGCGAAAAATATGGGTGTCAGATGTTGGGTATAATTGAATCTCTCGCTGTGTCCACTAAATCTTATGCTCGAGTTATATTTATATTCACAAGGTGATAATAAGTGTCAGATCCTATTTAATATCACCCTGAGGCTGTTTATGTATCTACGGGGCCTTATTTAGTGTAGTGCCAATAAATTGTAAATTATCTTAAGTGTTCCTTGGCAGCGTATTGCCAAGCTTTATGTTAGGCACAATTACTGTTTTGTTAGTAATTTACTGCACACCAACAATGCATTTGTGAGCGATTAGCATATTTGTTGATGGGCAAAACTCAAGGGGGTAAAACACACGTTGACACGCGCACACCTAGTCACTTATGCTACACGAATCGCTCTGGAGGGAGGCCTGCGCTGTGCACGCTGCCCTCAAACATCTCGCCGGAGCTCCTGCCACCCATATTCCAAGCAGCCGATTTACTATTCTGCCCGTGCGCTCCACAGAGCCACACTTGGACTATGTTGTCATGGTCACGACATTCATCACGACGGTCCCCCCGCCCCGCCCCCCTCCCCCCCCCAAAAAAAAGCGAGCTCAGAGACCATGCAAAAAAAGTCCCATCTCCGTCTATTTGCGAACAGGCAGCTGCTGCCGTGCCCCACTGGTGAGGTGAGCAGACGTCCGTATAGAAAGAACCTATTGACATCTTCTTGGTTCTTTCGGAAAAAGTCACGTAGAATGGAAATAATAAAATAATAAAATAAAATACAATAATTCTCACGACGTTTCGGCCACAACGCAAGCAGCCGTCCTCAGGTGGAGAACAGGTCTGTCGAGAAGACAGAGGTGTTTGAGGGCAGCATTCAGACGCAGTCTTCCCGACAGACCTGTTCTCCAACTGAGGACGGCTGCTTGCGTTGTGGCCGAAACGTCGTGAGAATTATTGTATTGTATTTTTTTTATTTTATTATTTCCATTCTACGTGACTTTACCGAAAGAACCAAGAAGATGAATCCCTGCAGTCACGGAAGCTTTAAATCGAAACCTATTGACAGTTAATGTTGGTGAGATAATAAATGCGTTAATCGTGCCACACTGCAGGGTGTGGCACGCGCATAGGCAACTGGCTGCAAACGTCCCGCATGAATGCCATTATGGCACGAGCTTCTCATAATTAACTCACCCTTACGTGACTTTCTTTTCATATATATTCATAAATAAGTGAAAAAGTTCCCAACTTTTCATATCTTATAAATATTTGCCATGTATATATATTTTTTTAAACCGTGCAAATTATCAACCCCAGTGTAGTTGTTCATTTGTAACACGTGAGTCGCATCTAAAATTACACTGTGCTAAAAATGCCTCGTTTGGAATTCGAGAAATATTTTTTTAAAATAACAACCTAAATCACACTGCAAATTATATTATATTTTTAATTGAACTTCAGTGTTAATTGTGGACGTTACTTTCTTGTGCTGGGATTCAGTGTAAATGTTATCACTTTCATGCCACTTTATCAGATTTTTAAAATGAAAAACCTTGGGAAAATGTCCACTCAAAAACCTACGTATAGATGATATTCTATCAACGCAATGCATAGTGTGAGATACGACAGGGCTTTAGTTTACAAAAGTGTATTTGCATGCGAAGTGTGCATATCCTGAGGTGGGTGGGTGACTCCAGAGGCTAATGCAAAATCTGAGGTCCCTGTCATTAAACTGGGTTTTTCTTGTTACACAGTGATGGTCGCAGCCCAGTCACCTGTATGAAGCCACAAATAGCCACTATCAGACATTTTTATTTTTTACTAAGTTTGGATTGTTCCAGCTCTGATCATTAAACACACGACCAACAGTGTTTTCAGGACATATAAAATAATTATTCCTGTTGTGGATAATGAGACCTATACAGCTCACTTCAAAAAGTCGTTGTGAGCCATTGTGTAGCACAGTATGGTGCCCAAATCTCTCTGTGCGAGTTCCAAATGGAGCTTTTTAATTTTAAACGTGCAGACAACACACTTGGAATATAATTGTCAAAGATAGCATTCTATATATATACGTGATTTTTTTTATTCCTATTCCAACAAATGTATCTTGTGCAGTGCCACACATTCAATTAAACCTCAGCCTGTTCCCATGGTATTAATGTTGGGATTCCATCAATTGAGCAATCAACCACTGGGAAATCAACACTGGTTTTCATGCATTTTTGGCCACCATACCGCCTTTTGCATTAGAAACACGTTGAAGAATATCAATAGGCACACCTGCGAAACATCTCTTGCTTAGACACCATCTCAGTTCTACCAAATTCAAGGGTTATTTAAACATTGCGTCTCATATATATGATAGCTTGTCAATAGTTTTCAGAAAAATATAGCAAAATAAAACCAGAGTTATGGCAAGCACCGATCCTGCATATTTTAATGTCGGTTAAGGTATTTTATTTCATTTGATCTATGCAACATTTTAGGGTATTGCAGATATATATTTTTAAATGCTTACCTATAATTGTATATGTCTTAGGAACAGGACAAGATAACCATATGCTAACACAGGCATGCACATGCACATAAACGTATTAATTTACAGCATCAGCGACATGTAGAAAACTGAGTCTAATTATTTGCATTTTCAATTCATAGGTTTCCTTTCGGAGGAAGTCGTCATCAAAAGCGGTAATGCTTAATATATTTTTTGTAACTTAGTGACTTTTTTACACAAATTCATAATGGCAATCTCATCCATCAACTAAACGTTTAAGCTGCAGGGAGCCGTGTGGCTGAAGGGGGTCCCAGATTGATGCACAGCTACGGATTAACCAAATAGGCAATTAATTTACAAGCTTTTTATTTATTTACGAGAGTTACTGAAGCAGCAACTATGAAAACATATTTCGTGTGTGCAGTTGCTTGGGGCCCCGACTGAGGACCTTGATAACCTTAAAACCATCCCCCACGTATTAAAAATTAAAGCGTTGTAAGATCCGTATTCACAAATAAAACAATACTTCACAAAAGATGTAACAAAAGTGCTTACACGGTGACCAAACCTTAAGTGAATCCTGTACACAATTTAACGCAAGCCCTTTTTAGACAGGAGGGTAACGATTTTTTTTGTTTAAAGAGAACTAAACTATACATGTTATGGTGGAGCCTTGTGACTTTGTGACACTGTGCACTCTTTATTTCATTACGAATTTCACAGACGGGCCAATCTCACCGAACGCGACACGGGAGGAGCCAGAGGGCGAGGCATACGGGGTGAGTGAGTTGCCACTGCTTAGCATCACGGCCCCTTTGGATTCTGTGAATAATTCAGCTTCCCCGCAAGGCGTGCAGAGTCGACAAAGCTGTCGGGGTTTTTGGTTGCAACAACAACAAAAAAGAATCGCTGGCAGGGGGGTGGGGGTGGGTGGTTTGATCACGGGGCAGTGCCTGCACGAGACCGATAACATGAGGCCATGTGGCCAGCTGAGCAGTTTTAATTAACGCTGGCGCGTACCACGCAGCGCACGAACCGAGCAGCGCGCGCATGAACAGCGACGTCAGGCTATTTTGGTGGTGGCTGTGAAAAGAAAGGTGCAATTAAAAGTTGTTTAAACGTAATTGTGCTAAAAATGCACATTTTCTCCAGATTTCATCTCGATGAAAATGCTAAATAGTGGTAAGTGAGGGCGTTGTACGAATGCTTAGACTGTAACGATGAAGATGGTGATCACGACAGCAATTATGACTTTATCGCATTTAAAGATAAGGTTTGATGTACAGTGTTTGCCAAATGATACTGTTCGACCAATGTTTGCACATACACGCTGATGTCTCCATTGCATGTTTGGGACAATAAATGTTTTCATTGTAAAAATTTCCACTAAACTGGAAGATAACTTGTTCATATTATATCACTTCTGAAGAATTTATACGGCGTGCACTTTGCATGATGAAATACAAATGTGGTCTTACTGCCATGCGCAATGTTTTGAAAACCCAAGCATCAAATTAATCTACAAGTCTGGCACTCAACATCTGACATGCAGTGTGGACAGGATCACTTCCTATAAATTAACTGCGTGACATTCATCCACTCAGGGTGCTTGATATGCATTCATTGGCTGGACTCTTTAACCAAAACCAGACAAGAATAACATGTAAACAGTTTGTAATTGCAACATTGTCATTCAGTAGACTGGTTAATGTTCTCATTTTAAGCGGGTGTCATTTGTAATAATATAGATTGGGGCTTTATTATTATTATTATGATGGCAGCAATCATAGCAATTGTTGAAAAAAAAGGTATGAAGGAAATTAGTTATTTTTAAAAGAATTAAATTGCGAAACTATTTCTAAAAAAATATACATTGCAATTATCTTCCACACCAAAATATTGCAGTCATTTTTTTCAGCTGTAACTACGATCTGGCTAGGTGGTGCCGCTGATTGAGCTCAATCGACTCGCCAAAGCTTGCCAGCTGAAAGCTTGTCAGTTAGTTACGGATGAGTGACTGTCTCAACCTCTCGTGCCCGTGGGGTCTATAACATTGGTACTGCTTTGCGGGAAGTCAAAAGCAGCCTCAGTGTGAAGAAGACTGGTCACTTCCCTGGGAAGGAACAATTTACATCGCTGACATCAGATTCACTTTATAAGTGCCCACTTAATTTATTTTGCCGTGTAGGGAGACACTTGAGATTAAACTTGATCTGAAATGACTAATGCTGTGGTGCAGTACTGTACTCGTAACTTGTATTGAATCAAGAACTGTGCTATTAACTTATTGGTTCTTTCGGTAAAGTCACGTAGAATGGAAATAAAAAAAATAAGAAAAAATACAACATAATAAAATAATCATGCTATTTAATAATAAAAATAAAACATTCTAAAATAATATAAAAATTTTTTTTTATTACTTTATTTCCATTCTACGTGACTTATATTATTTTATTATGTTTTATTTTTATTATTTTATTATTTCCATTCTACGTGACTTTACCGAAAGAACCAAGAAGATGAATCCCTGCAGTCACGAAAGCTTTAAATCGAAATTTAACTGTGCATTTGTCAACGCAGGTGTACTTGGCAGTGAGCATTGCGGCATTTGCTTGCATCGTACTCGCTGGAATGATCGTCCTAATCAACAAGTACGGACGTTCCAAATTCAACATGAAAGGTACCAATTTTCAGACATTCATGCACGCATGTTTTGGCAAGGCCGCGGGTGCCCAAGACACGTCTTGTGCAGAGTAGTTCGGGACATAATTGCTCTCCGTAGAAACCAGAGCAGGTCGAATCGTGTGGCTGTCCCGACTGTGTTGGCTCAAAAAATTCAACGAGTGCGGTTTAGGCACACGAGAGGGCTTCACTCACCAACACTCGTTGCTGTTTTATTTTCCTTTTTGTCCCCGTGCTAAAGGAACTTTTCTGAGGAAAATGTGGAGGCAAATGTGTTGCTTTTTGCAGTGTTGAAAGTCTCGAAGGGACAACGCAGCTCTGGGCTTGTGTGAGAGATGTCATTTATGTCCCGAGAGGTGGTGTTATAGATGTCGGTTTTCTGGAGGAATATTGTTTTGTGTGTATTATTGTAGGTCTTCTTAACAAGTCTCATTACTTTTAAACTGTAATAGTATAGATCTACATTTTAAAAAAATACTAAAATAAAAAAAGTTCATACAGTCTACCATATTCTACAACATGTTGCGTCCCACAAATTACAATATTTTTAAAACATCCAAACTAAAGTAACCATCTATACGTGTCTAATGTTTACACGTAAATGCATGTACTCTACTCTAGGCGCTTAAAACATCAGCTTATCTTGAGTGCACGTCTAATCATTCGTATTTTTGTGAAATATACGTGCTATATTGTGTGATAACAATAGTGTGATATTAATACAATGTATTAGCTAATTTACATTGAATAGCAGGAGGTGGCTTTTACATAGTGTTGCTGACCAGGGTGCTGAAATTAATATAAATATTTTTTCTAAAATAATGTACAGTACTACATTTTTAAGTATTAGAAAAGTTACAATGTACCAATCTTTAGGATTATGACAATTGTATATATTTAAACTTCGTATATGTGTGTGTGTGTAAATATATAACAAAAGTCATACAAACACATAAAGGTAACGCCTGATGAGACATTGTTCACAAATACACACCAGACCTAAAGTGAATGGATATACTATAATTTAAAGACACATTATCTCAGTAATATATGTATTAAATGTCAGAGTGCCTTATCCAATAACATAGCATGCAGGTTATCAAGATTTTCATTACAACAGACGTTTGTGATATCGCAAGCTGGTACAATGCATTTACCTTCGCTCAACAGTTTACACCGTTCTTTTGCATATGGTTACTGTTTGCATCTTCATTAGAAAAGTTTTTTTTTTTAAGTTGTGTGTTTGTCAATTCATGACCAATGCAATGATGTATAGAGACCAATACGAATTGCAGGCTGTGTGGACTGCATAGCGCATCAGTCATTTAATGTTGTGGTGAATGCATATGAGAGGCTATGGGTTTGCACTCAGTGTAGACGGTGCATATTTACGTCTAATTTGTCCACTTGTGTATAATACTCTGAACAAAACACGTTAACTCAGTATCATTGTGTGCCCAATTATCCGTGGTTTTTTTTCCTGCGTAAACATTTGCACGTAACATTTTAAACAAGGACAGGAATTTAAAAAAAAGTTGATGTTACGTCAAAAATACCACGCAAATTCTTAATTATAATTGTCAAACAGCAATTAAGAGGCTCATCAAAATAACGTGGCGATTTGCACCGGAGCGTAGCTGTGACCTATATCGTGCTGTACGGTACTCAAATTGAGAATGTGTCAAATCATCTATAAACGCTGAGATGTATTAGGCTGCCATGATGATTGCAATGCCCATCTTCCTCCTGTGTATGCACCATTTATTATCCAGCTTGTAATTGAACATATTTTGGGTTGTATAGCTAAACGCACACATGGTGTTTATACATACTTATATAATATATAACAAGAACTAATTTTATATGTCTCATATTTAATTTGTCTGACCTATTTTGCCCAATAAGTTTCATATATATTTGATAAAAACTGTATTTGATGTTTACGAATTGTAGATGTTTGTTTTATTTTTGATTTCCATCTAATAAGTTGAATAAAATAAAGACTGTTTTTTTATCACGATTTGATTTTTATTTTATTTGTCCAGATATATTTTTTTATAATTTAGAATGTTAATTTAAAAGATCGAATTTGTAGATTATTATAAACCAATGCAAATGCATAAACTCATATGAGACCAAATAACTGTCAATTAGGTGCGTCAGGTTATACAGTGTGATTGACAAGCAATTTAATTTTTGTATCCATCACTGCCAATAGAATCATTTATGAAAACGATCTGAGCTGTGAGGCAGTTGGAAATATCCAATATTAACATATTAATTCTAAACAACAGCCATCATCTTACAGAATTTCAACAAGCGTTCTGTAACAAATAACTTTACAATTTTGGGGGAAATGGTTTGTATAAATATTAAAATATAGTTTGTCCCGAACAATCCAAACTATACTGTTACAGAGAAGTGTTTTTTGGTACAGCATCTTGAGATGCAGTTGCATTTAAATGCTATATAAATAAAAGTGGTATTGTATTGTTTATCCTGAGATAAACCACTACCACATGAGCTGATTATTAATAAAGTATAACTTGATGTTCTGAGTTGGAGGCACATAATTCCAAGTCGTTTTTACTGCAAATTTGATTTTAAAAAAATCTCCAAGCTATTTATACAGCCAATGAAACACAAGCTTCTTGCAAGCATAATAATTACCCAAATAGAGTTAAATATGTTTAGTTACTTGTGGCGTCTGTTTCTCATTGAGGCTACTAGAACTGCCGTTAAACATTTCCCCTCAAAGATTCGCCCTTCCCAACTGGGAGACATCCTATCATTGGCTTCTAACGGTGCCAATCAACCGGATGATTTAAATGATTCAGGCATTACATTGGTGCCGGCATCTCCACTTTTGCCCGCGGCAGGCAGCGGCGTTAGCCCAGGGATTTTAAATGCAGAGCGGAGGGCTTCGGTGAGGGAGGGAGGGAGGGAGGTAGGCGAGGCGAGCGGATTTCAGCTCAGGAGCCAGGAGAGCTAAACTGGCCCCATACAAAATTGGATTTGCGTGGCCGAAATGCTTTCAACTTATCTGTGTCGCAGGTAGCCATATGTCTTTGGCTATTCACTTAACAGAATTAAACCCGGAGCAATAATTGAAGCTTTGATTTATGGAGGGCAAGGTTGACCTAAGATGTGAAAGAAAATACAACAAATTGCTTTGTATTCTTTGGGTATTTCGGTAAAGTCACGTAGATATGTTCAAAGCAAATAACACACAAATAACAAACATTCAGTTTTTCTTTGAACCTATTTACGTGACTTTACCGAAAGACCCAAAGAATATGAATTCCTGCAGTTACGAAAGCTTTAAGTCAATATTTAAATTGCCTTGCTTTTTGTTCGTGTTTGCTAACGCTGCAGCAACGTAAACATTAAATGGCCAACTAATTAAAATAACTTAAAGAAAATGAACCCTCGACCACAAGGCATATTTGAAAGATGTTTGAAAAAGCGATGCAACTAAATTGACACCAGCATGCATTTCCCTAGTTTACCTACAGAGTAAATTTAAACAAAATCAACAATGCAAATCAAATGTGGTATTAAAAAAGAAGTCTTAAAATGTACATTATTTGTATAACAACTAAAATTGTGTGCTGTAGTTCTATTATTTTCCATTTTGGATACATTTATTTTTAAAAAAACTAATTACCCTGAGCCATTCTTCACTGGTGTTTCATTCTACAAGTAAATTAATGAAACCTGAAGCTGTAATTAAATGCACAAAAAGGACCTGCCAGTTCCCGTGCGCGTTAGATTTTCATTACCTAAAGAGACCAAACTCAACGGCGCGTTACGGTGAAACAGCCAACAGGGGAAATGATTCACAGCCACGGCTGGGAGTGCAACGTTATTGGTGCATCTTCACAAAACATCTCTCTTGCTAATGAAGGCAACACCCTCTACAAGCCCCTGAGGATTCATAACGGGCGAGCTTCAACTGTAGGGTACCCCCCCCCCCCACCAGCCAGCCCCCCCGTCTCTTTGTAGGCGCACATTAGTCACAGTTGTCGTAAACAAAACGATGAATAACGCTCAGAGGCTCGTGAGAAGCTCAGGACAGGCACGGACAAGCCAGCCCAAATGCCTTGAAGCATTTCAACCAGTTTAACGTGAATCTGCTGGATACTTAATTCATGGGTGCGATGTATCGGCTGGAGGTTAATAAGTGAAGCACGAAACTTACAATTGCCCAACAAATTCGGACGATGAGGTTTTATGATGGAAAAAAAAAGAATTTACACTATCTAAACAAATCCTTCCGGATCACTCAATCTGACCAATGTGGCATTAGAGGCAAGCACAAACTCAGAGCAGTCGGCTGGGTAAAAACAAGCAGCACTATTGTCTCACCAGGGCTCTACACTTTGGAAGGCAATTTTAAGGAATTTTCACAAATCACACGAATTCTGAAGGCAATAAATCTTATCTTCACACCGTCCCCCCCCCCCCCACCTCAGCATGTTCACTCATTGCACGAACCACGATGGACTGCACATTGAGATTGTGATGGCATTTCTGTGCCTTCTTTTGTAGTGCACTGCACGCGCCCACATTTTATCCCCGGCTGTTGCAGCAGCTTTCGGCGTGAAATGGCAAAAATGCCAAGAAATTAAAATGACGCTGAAAAATGAGACAATGGGACTTGTTTGACATATCAGATGATGGAGTCTTAATTAGGACTGCAGAATGCCACACATATCAGCAGTGATTTTTGTATCATTCACTTCCAAAGGCGAACAACTGAGGCATGTAATGTGGTTTCTTCTAGTATAAGAAAAAAAAACATCTGTAATGAAAAGAAAATAATGAGCCCTTTCATAAAAGTAGGCAAAATGTGTTTTTTACATTTGTTATTCTGATAGTATTAGCATAATAAAATGTGATATTATTAAATGTGCAGCATCATGAATGCATTAATTTCACAATTTAACTCGGATTCTCGAGCCTGGATTAATGCGTGCATGCATGCAAATCTCAAAG